GACAGGCTAGCTCAGAAATGGACGGAGAAAACTAGGCGATCTTCGGACGGATCCAGAGTTTATACTCATAAGAATGGTCCAGCTATCGAGATCATCATCCGGGATACTAACAGAGGAGGCTCAGTAACCGCGCAGATAATTCCATGTGTAAGGTTCCCGGATGAGTCGGGAGATTATCGCCACTATGTGCCATGCGCGTTCAAAGAGTGTACGAAGTTTGAACTGGGAAATACCTCAGAGCGCTCGATTTTGTGGAGAAGAACATTCTCACTGAAAGAAAGAGAAATTGTTTCCAGTTTAGATCGTTCTGTAACGAGCACATGCCGACTGGAATGTCTAAAAATTCTCAAATTCTTTTTCAGCTCAGACAAAAAGCTGCGCAGTTTTCGTTTCTATTTGCTTAAAACGGCTTTTTTACACTACCGCACCACAGACCCAGAATGGCGCGCGGATCAACTCGCGGAGAGATTTCTCGGTATGTTGAGCTACGTTCAAGAATGTGTGAAGCGAAAAGATCTACCGCACTACTTTTTACCGAGCGTTAACCTTTTCAAAGGACTGAGTGGAACGGCTCGCGATGCTATCGACTGCCGACTGCAACAGCTGCTAACGGATGAAAAACAACTGTTTTATGCCATTTATGCTTAGCGCCCAGTCGCAGGGCTGCCACAAGTAAGAGACAAAGGAGTTTCAAACAAAATAATACTTTCAAGAGATGATCGCTCTCAGGAAGTGGCACTTAAAATAGATTCCAAAGCATGGTCGTTTATAACAGGTGGTCGCACATAGAAAGTCACCGATTTTTTGAATATTTTATAACCCTTACCAACTCAGAATGGCGTTTAGAGATTGTCCATATAGATTCGAGTCTTTTCTGTTTTCTTTGAATGCAGACAATGCGGAATATAATGTAAAAATAATACGTAAAAATTAGGATTTAAAGATTCCTCAGTTACAAATTAAAAGAGTAACAAAAGACTATGTTCCAGCTCTCTCTGCCCACTTTTTCTGTTAAGTCCACCGCCAAGCTTGGGGAGTGTTTCACCCTCACTCCCGCCGCCCCGCCTACGTTTAGGTTTGTCCAGCTCCGCAATTATTCTCCAAATAGCAGATGTCGCACTCCGAGTTATGTTCTTGCTGTTTTTGCCATGTTTTTAGCTATTATTTCGCCTAGTTCCAGCTGTAGCTCTTACTCTTGAAACGAGTGAGATGTCCGCCATTTTTTTTTACAACCAAAACATTTCAACCTTGTCCCCAGGTCTTCTCGGTAAAGGTGGCTTAACCTGTAGCGGGCTGCATTTTTGACGTCATTTCCTCGTTAAACACAAAATTCTTCCAAATTTGGTCATCAGTAACTGGTTATGGTGAATTATGCGTGTGCTTTTAGCCAATCAGAATTGGGGAATAAACTACTGGAGTATTGTAAGCGAGAGACAGGTGTGGTCAGTGGTATGGAGTACGGGGGTACAATGTACGAGAGGCTGGAAAGCAAACGAGGTAATGAGATTGACGTAATGTTGGTACTGAAAACAGGTTCTGAAGATTTAACACTTCACGAGGTCGTTCCGAAATTGTACTCAAACATAAAACTTGTTAAAGATAAAGCCGATACGAAGCTGGTAAGGCTCACTGATAAACATGGCTATTTGAAGCCATCTAAAATGCAAGTCTGGCTTGACAGGCTAGCTCAGAAATGGACGGAGAAAACCAGGCGATCTTCTGACGGATCCAGACTTTATACTCATAAGAATGGTCCAGCTATCGAAATCATCATCCGGGATACTAACAGAGGAGGCTCAGTAACCGCGCAGATAATTCCATGTGTAAGGTTCCCGGATGAGTCTGGAGATTATCACTACTATGTGCCATGCGCGTTCAAAGAGTGTACGAAGTTTGAACTCGGAAATACCTCAGAGCGCTCGATTTTGTGGAGAAGAACATTCTCACTGAAAGAAAGAGAAATTGTTTCCAGTTTAGATCGTTCTGTAACAAGCACATGCCGACTGGAATGTCTAAAAATTCTCAAATTCTTTTTCAGCTCAGACAAAAAGCTACGCAGTTTTCATTTTTATTTGCTTAAAACGGCTTTTTTACACTACCGCACCACAGACCCGGAATGGCGCGCGGATCAACTCGCGGAGAGATTTCTCGGTATGTTGAGCTACGTTCAAGAATGTGTGAAGCGAAAAGATCTCCCGCACTACTTTTTACCGAGCGTTAACCTTTTCAAAGGACTGAGTGGAACGGCTCGCGATGCTATCGACTGCCGACTGCAACAGCTTTTAACGGATGAAAAACAACTGTTTTATGCCATTTATGCTTAGTGCCCAGTCGCAGGGCTACCACAAGTAAGAGACAAAGGAGTTTCAAACAAAATAATACTTTCAACAGATGATCGCTCTCAGGAAGTGGCACTTAAAATAGATTCCAAAGCATGGTCGTTTATAACAGGTGGTCGCACATAGAAAGTCAACCGATTTTTTGAATATTTTATAACCCTTACCAACTCAGAATGGCATTTAGAGATTGTCCAAATAGATTCAAGTCTTTTCTGTTTTCTTTGAATGCAGACAATGCGGAATATAATGTAAAAATAATACGTAAAAATTAGGATTTAAAGATTCCTCAGTTACAAAAGAGCAGTAAAAGACTATGTTCCAGCTCTCTCTGCCCACTTTTTCTGTTAAGTCCACCGCCAAGCTTGGGGAGTGTTTCACCCTCACTCCCGCAGCCCCGCCTACGTTTAGGTTTGTCCAGCTCCGCAAATATTCTCCAAATAGCAGATGTCGCCCTCCGAGTTATGTTCTTGCTGTTTTTGCCATGTTTTTAGCTATTATTTCGCCTAGTTCCAGCTGTAGCTCTTACTCTTGAAACGAGTGAGATGTCCGCCATTTTTTTTTACAACCAAAACATTTCAACCTCGTCCCCAGGTCTTCTCGGTAAAGGTGGCTTCACCTGTAGCGGGCTGCATTTTTGACGTCATTTCCTCGTTAAACACAAAATTCTTCCAAATTTGGTCATCAGTAACTGGTTATGGTGAATTATGCATGTGCTTTTAGCCAATCAGAATTGGGGAATATTTTGCATGAATAATAAAGTAATCTATAATCTCTAGGATTTAGAGTCGATCTTCTTTAATATGTCAAGTCCGTTCTATGTTTCAGTGTAAACTTGTTTCTAGCAAATTAGTATCCTTATATTTAAAACATGCATGTAAATAGCAAAATAAGGTCTTCCAGTGCAAAGTGCTTTTGATCACATGTAAGTTAAGCGCTGTCGAAATAATATACTGTCATTATTGTGACTCGCGTCTAGGAAAAGGAAGACCGATTATTTGTCGGTAAACAGTTAAAAAGGTTTTGAACAGCCTGGGGATAACAAAGGGCCATGCACCTGCAAACTGGGTCAAATGTGAGGCATAATTTATGAAAATATTTAATAGCAATATTTTCTTTACTGCAAAAAAAAGTGTCGTCCATTAACAACCACACCGGGATATAACTGTAAAAACTAACTGAATACAAATTATCTACTATGGCTGGTTTACGGGTCGCGGATAGGATAATATTCCGTTCATTAAAAAGTCAAAAAGTGTGATACCATTTTAAAAAACAGATCAATGTTTCGGGTATATTACCCTTATTCAGTGTCAAGAAAACCGTTACTAGTACTGCAACGCAATTGTCATAGGTATAAAAATGAGGCGCGAGCGCGTGTAAATAATAGCGCGCCCACGATGTATGTTAGTTCAAATAAAGCTAAAATCGATATTTCGTCCTTTCGGTTGAACGGTTCCTAGCCGCAAGAAAATCCTCATTTTACGCTGTTTCTTTTGGATGTCGGCTCCACTGCATAGAGCTATCCCCACACCACGCACCTGGACATCGGGAATACTGCGGCTGGTGGAGTTGAAATGTTGCCCCACAGAAAACTCAGGGGTGCTGTTGCGTATACTTCGCAAACGTTCCCTAAAACGACTCCTGAGGCTCCTTTAGTTTCAACAATGTAAAGAGGTGGACATCGGTGGCAGGATATGCAGTAAACAAAATTCCTGGATTAGCAGGTGAAATGCCGTCACGGATTGAAAAATGAAGACTTGGTGCCGCATATCTCAGCGACAGAACTGATGCATCGAGGACGCTGACACGTGCGCGAACCAGGCTGCTCAGAAGACAAGTGATCTAAATACTAAGGGTTGTAACAATTAAAAGTAGTCAAAGACTGAAGAAACACGCCTTGTCTTTTTTTTTTTTTTTTAAGGAAGAACGTTTGCAAGTAAATGATATAAAAACTGCATGTTTTAAGCACAACTGATAACATGTATTCATAGTTTTGTCTCAAATTCCTGTTTAACCTGGGCTTAATGTCTTAAAGGCAGCTGTGCCCCTGCTTCCTGGATTTAACTGTCAAATAATGTAGTTTATGATCGTATATGCGTATTTTCAAATTGGCACTTAATCTGCATTAGCAGACAAATAAGGCATTGTCATTGAAACATCTAAACCAACAATTTTGTGGTGATATTTTTTTAACTTTTATTACACAGTTTACATCTGACAGTACTTGCATTTGTTAATGGAAAGAAAAATGGCTTTACAACAAATAATTGACAAGAAAAAACGTTTTGGTATATTTAATCCATTTTGTCTAGGTTTTGCCGAGGGCAAATTTTGTCTGCGGCGCCTTTGAAAATTGTCCCGTCTCAGGCAAAATTTGAAAAAGCGCAAAAAACCTTCCCTTTTTGTTATGCGTTAATGATGAGGGAAAATTTGTCTATATCAACAAATTTTTCGCTAGAGAAAAAAGGCCCTATCTTTTCAATCGATTTCTTAATATAGCCACCTGACTTTTCAAATTATGTATTCTGATTGAGGCTTCGCAGGGGGCTTACAATTGTCAATAAAAGTTCTGAATCAGACAGGATGCGCAGTATACGGAAAATTAGTTCAAAGTCTCTTGATTGCATATGTCAAATTCCGCACACACGCTGCAAAGCTGAGATGAACTCAACGGCGAACGGATCCAGCGAGTCTTGGAGCTGCATCGCTCAGTTAAATTCCACTGCGTCAAAAATCGGAGGAACTGTTACTTACTGTCTGCTAATCATCGTTTCACTGGCCGCCAATTCTCTCATTGTTATGATCGTTTATAAAATGCCGAACTTAAAAAAACCGATAAATTATTTCATCGCAAACATGGCCTCATCTGATTTGCTGTTTCCAATATTCTGGATACCTTGGTTTCTGTCAAGCTTGCACACCAACTTGTTTCTAATTGGTGGTCAGCTTGGCCAGGCCTTGTGTAAGCTTGTCCCTTTCTTTTCTTTCGTTTCCTGTGCCGTTTCGATTCAGAATCTGATTCTGATAGCGGTGGATCGATTTGGAGCCGTGGTGTTTCCACTCCGTTCCCCACTCATCAGATCCAAGCTGTGTCCCTTCTACATTCTCACCACGTGGATAGTTGCCGTAACTGTCGGTTCGCCATACTTGTTCGCCAACGAGCTCGTTGAAAATCCGGAGGGAGCCAAGTGTGTTACGAAATGGAAGAAAGCATTCGGAGAGTCATCGTCCCATGCCAGTTTCCTACTAACTTTCTACCTTCTGTTTAAACACATCCCTGTGCTGTTGTTAGTCATTCCTTACTCCATCATTCTCATCAAGCTCAAGACACAGGTACACCCAGGTGAACAGTCCGCCAACACTCAACAACAGCGGCACAGAAGAAACAGAAACGTGCTTCAAATGTCCATTGCTACCGTAATAGTGTTTGTGTTTTGCTGGTTACCTTACTCTATCAACGTTTTAATCATAGAGTATCAGGACAGTTCCACGCATTTCTCGTGTAGTTTCTGGATATACAATGCAGTCACCATTTACATGGCTACTGCGTACTGTGCCATCAACCCGATTATCTGTTTTATGTTTAGCAGTAATTACAGAAAAGCTCTTAAAAGACTCATAAAATGTTCTTCGCACAGGCTTAGGTCGCAAAAAAGTGCTTTTGGTTGAAGATGTTAAGAGTTAGAGGTTCGTGGAACACGCTCGAATAACTGTATCATGACGATCAGTGTATTTTAAGTAGTAATTATCGACAAGGTCTTAAAGACTTATGAAATGTTCTTTTCTACAGGCGTAAGTCGCAAAAATGTGCTTTTGATTAAATATATTTAAAGATTTAGAGGTACGTGGAACACTCGCGAATGAAAAATTACCACGACTGCCTTTGGCGCACTTAACTGAGGACAAGAAAGAATGATCTAGCTCATTCTCTCTTGCTGAGGATTAATAGAATGTGTTTAAGTCTCCCATGACTGTGAAAAGTGACAGCACATGCCGCATATTGTAAAAGTTGGGTGGTAAATAAAACTCATGGACGGACCATAAGAAACGTTATTGGGAGCATAGACGGCGATATCAAACTGTACAACCACAAACTGTTAATTACTGCAGAACCGAAAAAACAAGAAACAAATATAACGGACAATTGCAAATATCCAACTGTTGAAATTTTAGCACCACACCAAGGTTTGACAGTATTTTTGCGTCGTTAAAAGAAGCGCATTGCAAATAAAAATAAAATACATGAACCAAAAAGTTAAACAGGAAGTTTAAGCGGCAAGGTGTTTTCTTTCACACACAATCAATTAAATGATATTACCCCTTTGAAATGTTTTTATAGACCTTTTTGCGCTCGATAAATTTTGATCACCTATGCTTAAATACCTAATAGGTGTATTTCTACATGCAAATAATATGTATCACACCGGTTTAAAATGTCCACTTATATTGCTTTTCAAACATCTTCTCAATCGATTTCTAAATACAACCACAATGGCTTTACAATATTCATTAGTCTGTTCAGCTTGAAAGAACGGCCGTATAGGTCTTAATAACAATTATTGTGCACAGGTTTCACAAGGGGACATAAAAACTAAAGTTTAAAAAGTTTGAATCTTAACTGATTGCCGCAGAGAATACTGCGTTGTACAGAAGGCACGCAGCAAACATAAACTCGAGAATGGCGAATGGATCGATCCAGTCTTGGAACTGCTTTAAACGGTTTACCAAGAAGAGACAAAACTACAATAGTGATAAATTTTTAGTGTTCGTAGATGAAAAAATTTCCTTCGCCCTTGATCACAAGACTCTCCGCTAATGAAAATAACATTTCACACACCTGTTTAGTAAAATTTGCATTAAGCACGTATTTTCAACTACATTTTCAACAGTCTTGGGGCTGTTTCAAACAGTTTATAGAGAAAAGACAGAACTACCGACTAGTGATAAATTGAGTATGTAATTTACGCTGCAGCTCCAACGTCTAAAATAGTGATCAAAAGAAACCTTCTCTTGTCATGAATTTGTTGTAATAAAACATATATATCCTGTGTGAATAAATTACACTTTCTAGGGAAAAAAATAAAATACCTATCGAAAATACGTTTGGTCGTGATCTGCATTAAAGGACATTAATTATATATCCTCCTTATTAATTTTATGGTGTTTGTAGCTAGCGTACTATTTTTTCCCTTTTATCGATCGAATTTGAGCAGTTGATGATTTTTAAATGAAACAAAGATATACGAATAATAACAATTGAATGGAATATCTCCTAGTTTTTCTTAAGTATATTTGTTAAGATTGACACCTACTGTTGTATAACTTTTGCTGTTTAGCACGTATATTGCCTTTTTTAATTTGTCCTCCAATCACATCCGTAGTTGATTGATGCAAAAGTCTAGCCAATTATTTTCGATTAACACCTTCCGGTAGTTCGACTAACTGACATGATTTTGAAACTGTAATTTTAGTACCTTGCTCCCTGTTATTGTTTAAATTTTGTTTAGGAGCCAATACTTTGTTCTCTCTCTTTGCTTCCCTTGTGTTGTTTCGACTGGATAACCCAAGCCTTTAAAGGGCTTAAAGGAGCAATTAAGAAAGAATTTCTGTCAGACAAAGTAAATAACTCGAAGGTTCAATGCTAATGAGTCTCTCCTAGCAAATTACAAAAGGCTTACTTAGGCATTCATGAGTTGCCATAAATGATCTAATGACTTAAACTGACACCCCCTTTCAAACAAACGCCTCTTGGCTTATTTAATAAGCGCCGCTCTATGATATTATGTTTGCATTAGACGCCCTCGCTAATAAACACTCTTTGTCTTGTAGACGCCCCCATGAAAATTATTTCAAAAATTATTAGAAATTAGCAAAAAAGAGCCAAATCATTCAAATTATTCAGTTGCCTGCTTGATTAACAAGACTTTGAGCATTGCATCTTGTTCAGTGTTTCAAAGTTTTATTGACTATTTTCGAATTCCCCATAATACACTCTGTCTGCCCCCCAAATTTTGCATAACTTATTGTCTTAAAATGCTCTTGGGAAAATGCAATACTCCCAGGAGCATTTAAAAACAATGGTTTATGCAAAATTTGAGGGGCAAACAGAGTGTATTATGGGGAATTCGAAAATAGTCAATTTAAAAGTTCGAATTGATTGGAGATTACAACATAATGACCCTGAACTAAGATTCTAACACAGAAGTTGAGATTTGAACCAGCGCGGATAAGGATCTCTAGACGGCCTAGCTAGGCGGTAGCAATTGATAGACAGGATATTCCGCTATTCATAAGCTCTCTTTACATTTTCGCCGAAAGCATATTAGTTTTGAAAATTAGGTTGTTACATAAATGACAATGAACTCCTTTCCCTTTTAAATGATTCCTGTCATAAAACGCCCCCTGTTGGAACCCTAAAATTATGTCTGCTGGACGTCTATGAGATCATTTACGGTATTAAAGCGGGTGGGTTTTCTGGTCATTATACAACTATTTCGAGAAAGGTTGTCGGAAAAAGTGCACGCGACAATCCCGAAAGGCATTGTGGGTGGTTTTGAGTTCTCTGTTTTTCAAAGAAATTTGAAAGAATTGGCACGAAAGGCCATGGAAATGTGTTTTCGAGTGCTAAAGGAAAGAAACAAAAGTAGGTTCGACAGCTACAGTCGTCAGGAAACAGTGTATTGATCATATCCCATATTACCTTTCGGGATTATCGCGTGCACATTTTTTTCGACAACCTTTCTCTAAATAGCTGTATAAAAATGAAGTGTCACAAGGTTATCGAAAAAAAAGAACTGTAGCCAACAAGTTCTGAAGTTTGTAACAACTAAAACTGATCAGTCAAAGCAGTCTGAACAAGCCCTTGTCAGAAGAATCTGCTCGTTTCTCTTCGCCGACAGAAGACTTTTGGTTTTCCCATTTTTAGCTGGACCGAGAAGTAAATATTATAAAAACTTCATGTTTTATGCACACGTGATAGTATTCACTTATTTTTTCCTCATATTCACCTGTTAAGCCTGGGCTTAATGGCCTGAAGGCAGCTTCGCCTCTGCTTCCTGTGGTTGACTGTCAAACTTGTGTAGTTGATGATGGTACTACCAATTGCAAAGATATCGTTTTTAATGTGTTAAAACACACTTGTTTAATCATCTTCTCAATCGATTTCTTAATACAACCACCTGACCTAAATGAACTGTTCTGGATGGTTTATAACATTTTAATACCCCACTGTTCCTGTCAAAAGGTCGGTTGGCGGATAATGCCGGAACATTACAAACAAACTCACTTACAACGGCTTGTAAACTAAAATTTCGAGGACTTTTTTGGACTTTTATCATTTAGGACATGGAGCCTACATATGAGCCTAGCTAGCCGTAAAAAGGGGAAATACGCCCTAGCCGGCATGATCACATGCTGTTTAAGGAAAATTCCCTCATCCATGTCAGGAAATTCTGTATTTTAAAGTCTCCCCTAGGGCATGACTCGGCAACTGAGGACATTTCTGCTACGTTTTCAATTTTGGTTAGCATGCTAGGATTTTCCCCATGCCTATCGTCAATGATTTGCTCACTGGTAATAGAGGGGGTGGCCTCAGAGTGTTTTTACATTTAAATTGGCATGCAACGGAAATTTCAATGCCCTGTAAGCATATTTTGAGGTTCCGTGACCTTCCTACCAGCGCCACGAGAAGCCTAGGCTCTAATAAGAAATTAATACCTAGCATGCCTCACGTGCCAAAATCTCCGGCATGCCGGGTATGCCAAATTTTCTCGTATGCCGGACATGCCAAATTCTCTGACATGCCGGGCATGCCAAATTCTGCGGCATGCGGGGCATGCCAAAATCAGAGTCTGGCGTGCCCTAAACGCACAGGTTAGTTCCTTGAATCTACAGATATTTAAGCCTGGCTAAATAAAACTTAGACAGATCGCCGTGCTTATCTTTTGATGTACAGGTTATAGCTCATTTACACAATGACGTCATTCTATTCTTTTCATTTGTATAAATTTGGTAATCCCAGCGAAGTTTAAACTAAAGGTCTAATTTGCACCAGAAAGCAAAACCCTGAAGGTTTCTGGTCGTAGTCTGGGTCATAGTAATAAAATAGCGTCATCGTGAATATGACCTATTGGGTGATTGTAGAAACTCCTCCCCCCTTGTAATAGGATTCCCATTTCACATTGCGAATAAACTGGATTGACTGAAATCAGTAAAAACAGAGACAGAGACTGTTTTCGTTGTATAATAAAATGCATCTATGTTCCATGAAAGGAGGCATGAAAGCTTTCTAAAATACAAGGTATGAGAATATCTCAGGCAAAGTTCATTACAAACTGAGCTAAGCTACAAAATCAGACTGTCCATTATTCAGTACATTATGAAGCTTGACAATGCAATGTGCTTGAATGTGAACGTTGCAATTACAAAGCTCTCTAACGCAATTGTCCCTCCCTAACCGGGTGCTTGAATTCCCCCGGAATTCCCCTTTCTTGTCAGGGATTATTGTATATGTGTCATCATTAGTGTTTGTGTTCTTTGTTTCAAGATAGGTCCGTAACTGACAGTCTCAAAGAATTGCTCTCTGGGAAATAAATGATCTCCTCTTTGTCATTTGTGGATGTTGTCTGTAA